GGGGGGGGGGGGGGGTGACATACCAGCAGTACATGCTAACGCACCCGTGGTAACCCGAATAGTCAATAGTCGAACATACCACGGAACAACACCCTGCACCAGCGCACCATCCACACACAGAGAGAAGTGATGGATGGTCCGCATCACAGGTGTAGGTGCGTACTAACAGAAGTGAGTAGTGCCCCTGGTACGGACAAGTCAAAACCAACCAACCACACGACACACCCAACCTGAGCACACCATACGATGCAACACAAGCGAAAAGTGAGCATGGTCGTGGCCCAACGAGTAAGTGCGGTACCAACGAGTAGGACTACGGCCCGTCAGTGGCCGCTCTCTGTCACTGGTCAATGCACCGCACCCGCATGCGGCCCGGCGCACAGAGAGGCAAACAGCAAAGGGGAACAGACAACCAAAGGCGATGCAAGACAAGCAAATGCAAAGAAATTGATGAGATCTTTGGCATGACGGATCTTTCACGACGGGCTGACAGTGTGCGTGCCTGGCCGTGACGAAGGAAAGGAAGCAACGCGCCTCATCTTCAAGCTCGCACGTATCTCTAGGGTTCCTCGAAACCGCTGTGGAGGCTGTCCACTCTGGCCGTTTCCACCAGCCTGTGTGTCCAGCGTCATCATGTCGAGGAAGTTTTACGACCGTCTGCTGTCCGGGAGCGGTGTGCAGAGCAAGCCCTTCAAGTCGAGCTTCGGGGAGGTCATGCTCAAGAAGATGGGATGGAAAGAGTAAGCCAAGGTCACGATGACACCAACAACAACACCCCCGACACACAGATGCAAGCGTCGCATTGCCCGAGTCGCCTGACCTCGCCTGATCTGTGCGTGTGTGTGTGTGTGTGTGTTTGTCAGGGGCAATGGTCTCGGTAGGGAGCAGCAGGGGACGACCAGCTGCCTCCAGATCAAGAAGAGGGAACAGGCGCTAGGGGTTCGCAGGGGAGGGGGGGGGCACCGACACACGTCCGTCGTCATCATCATTATCATCATCATGTCTTGTGTCCTTCCGTCTGTGTATCTCTGTCTGTCTCAGTTGGGTGCTGATTCGAAGGATGCTCCCGAGGAGCAGTGGAAGAACTGGTGGGGAGACCTCTACAACAACATCGCTAACAAGATACAAACACACGTACGCAACCACGTAGGCAGAAACCCATTGGAGTGCACACACGACACGTCGTCGTGAATCCATCCCATCTACCTCCCTTCGCCTCTCTCTCTCTCTCTCTCTCTCTCTCTTGCCGGCAATGGGCTGCAGCACACGACCCACGACAGCGATGACGACAGCGAGGCCGACGAGACTGCACACTCGCCCAGCACCAAGAAGCACCGGCGGCACTCTGACGAGCTGTTGGCGGCATGCAAGGGCCGCACCTGCCGAAAGGCCGACAGGATGGCCGGCAAACTCCAACGGATACAGGTCGGTCGGTACACACACCTGCAGGCATGGATGCTTACTGTCCTTTGGTTCATCTGCTCTGGTCTGCTTCCCTTCGCTCAGGCCCAGGACGCCGCGTCCAACCACCACCCCTCTCAACCTCACCGAGCCACCCCCAGCTTCGCCCATAAGGTCCCAGCCAAGAAGGCCAACAAGAAGAGGAAGGCCACCCACCTGCAGCTGCTGGAGGAGCATCACGACCACACCTCGGAGCACGCTGACGGCCACGGCCACGACATAGCCACAGGTTCGCCCCTCCCCTCAGCTTCCAAGAAGGCCAAGAAGAAGCAGAAGGCTGGCAGGGTGACAGAGATCGACGGTGGCAGCAACACAGAGGAGGCCAGGTCGCCGGAACGGGCAGGCTGGCACGGCAGCTTCCCTGCGGCAGCCGCAGCCACATCAGCAGCAGCAGCGGCAGACGGGGCCAAGAAGGCCAAGAAGAAGGGCAGGAAGGCCAAGAAGGGGGCTGAGTGACAGTGAGTGAGTGAGTGATGGGTTTACGCGCTCGTTGCAGCTCAGTTTTGAGGCAGGCCCTGTTTTGATGTTGGTTGACGTGTACGTAGATGCATGCTTAGTGAGTGTTGATCGGACGGCGTGTGTGTCGTGGTGGTTTCATGGCGGCGGCATGGCAGCGCGGCGCACACATCGAACGAACGAGTTCAAGGCTGTGCTGAATGAACTCCTGGAGTCATTCGCTGCTCAAGTGCCGTTCCAAACGCATATGATCCCTCGTTAGTGTCTCTCAGCTCGACTCACTCCACTCAAAGACCAACCAACGAGCGGGCCAGGCTTAAGAGAACACCCGCTCCCTCCCTCCTTCCCTGTCCCCCCTCTCCCATCCGTATGACCCCAGCCACCCTTGTCCCCCTCGGGGACTAATGCCTAGTCGTAAGGTAAGGACACGCGGCATCCATTGGTCCATCCACTCAGTCAGCAGTCAGACAGGCAGGCAGGCAGGCAAAACCGACTTTTAGACACTCGAGCGGAACGGACGGACAGGCAGGACAGGGAGGACAGGCAGGCAGGCAGGCAGGCAGGCAAAGAGGACTATACACGGGCAGAGAGAAGGCCTCCCTCTCTGCCCACCATCACAATGGAGGGGAACAGTGCTGTCAGATGGGCTGGCTGATTCCTACGGCAAAAAACTGCTCGTAGATAGATAGATGCACGGACACAGACAGACAGACAGACAAACAGGCAGGCATACAGCCAGACAGACAGACCTGCCTCCGTGGTGAGCTCACACACTCTCACGAGCTCTGCTCTACACGGTGCAATTGATAAGAGTACAACAAACAGCAAAACCAGCACAGGCAAAGACAGAAAGAAAGAGCAAAGGCAGGCAGGCAAGGGATGACAGCAAACAGTGCCATCCATCCATCCATCCATCCAATGACGCGCACACACCCCGACAGGCACACAAAGCAGGCAGCAAAACGGGAGGGAGGGAGGGACAGCCGGCCATCCATCCAAACATCCGAACGAGCATTCGACCATTCCATTCATATATTCCCCAACGCCGCCCACATTCCAGTCGATCAGTCAGTCATAGTCAGTCATGGTGCAAAGGTCCAGGGCTGCACGACCTTACCCACAGCAAGATGCTCGCCGTACGTGCAGGTCCACCCATCTGCACCACACACACACACACAGACCGTGCACTGCACCTGACCTGCACAGAGTCTGTTCTGTCCCTCGCCTCTCTCGCCTCTCTCACTTTCGCAGCACTGTAGCAGCTTCAGAGGTTCGTTCCAGCCCTGTGGATCGAAGATATCAATCACACTGAGGCACTCGGGTGGTTGCGAGGCGGTGGCCAGTGGGCTGCGCCACAGAGACAACTCATTCTTGGACTCACACAAGGCATAGATCTGGACCACACACACACACAACGATCCATCGACGATGCGACGGCAACAACCGTGTCCGTCTGTCTCTCTTGTTGTCTGTCTGTCTGTCTGTCTCACGTGTCCATGCATAATCCGGAAATCCTCCACTCGGTGCGGCAACACCTGCACCATGTCGCTCGCCACACCCTTCTCACACGCCACAGCCGCCCCCGTGATGGCACTCGCAATCGACGATATGCTGGGGAACGGCCGCGGGGAGACGTCGGATGCCGTTGCTGCTGCTGCTGCTGCCGCCGCTGCTGGTGGTGGGGTATACGATGCTGATGATACTCGTGTGGTTGAGTGCCTGGCCGACGGGCGCGGGCGGATGTGAGAGGGCGGTGTGGGTGCGTCGATGATGTGTGGTCCACCTCGCCGTCTGCAGGGGGAGTGGCGGCTGGAGGCCGGGGAGGAAGGGTAAGGGCGGTGGTCCTCTAAGAGAGGGGAGGGCTTCGGGTATCTGACACCAGTAAGAACCAAATGTGATCCGGTCCATCACATTTGGTTCTTACTGGTGCAGTGCAAAGGATAGCTATATGTGATGTGATTTACCCTACCTGAGGTCAAGGTGTCTGATTTTGCCGTTCCTGTCGCCGGTGCGGTGCACGTAGGCATACAGCACCTGCCGCCCCGTCACACGCAGAGGCCACAACATGCGCTTGCTCTGCTGAAGCTCCAACACCACCCTGACACACACACACCAACCGCACACACCGACACATACACTTGCCCAACCAACGGCAAATATATACCACAACTGCCCCGCCCCGCCCCCCGCCGTATAGCACACCTGTCTTTGCGTCTCATGTCGCACTGCAAGATCCAGAAGCAGCCGTCGGCGGTGTTTTCGCCGACGAATGTGACGTCGTTGATGGACTTGTCCTCGTTGAGGTCGACGGCGTGGATCCACTTGTCGTTGGTGTCGGCCGGCCGCAGCCTCTCGCGGTGACCGCTCTCGATGTGCCACACCTCCATACCAGCTGGTTGTGGAGCGATCCACAGGACAGTGTGTGTGTGTGGAGTGGTGGTGGGGGGGGGGTGTCTGTGTGTGGTTAGGTTCGTTGGCGTACGCACCAGGGTATCTGGATGAGGTGCGGACGTTGATGGCGACCGACTCGCGAGTCAGACGCAGGTCATTCACCTCACTCATGCTGACACACAGACACAGACACAGACACACACGCACACACACACACAACGATCCATAGAAATTCCCATATACGACGCAGAGTGAGTGAGTGAGTGAGTGACTGAGTGAGGTACCATTTCATAGTGGCCTTTTGGTGGTGGTCTGTCTTGGAGAAGACCCTCACGTGCCCGCCGTCGTCGCCAGTTGCATAGATACCACCACACACTGACGCACGCGGTACACACACACACACACAGAGAGAGAGAGAGAGATGAATGATTCACTTGTTCCTCGACTCGTGTGTGTGCTTGTGAGCTGACAGTCGATGCAGTTGATGCTTCGCACGTCGACCGTCTTGCTGTGGTCGAGCGCGCCGGTCGCCACATCATACACACTGATCAGCGACTTGCCACCACGACCACTGCACACACAACAACACAACAAGGACACCACAAGCTTGCAACACAAGACACACTCAATCACACTCCACCCACACGCACCCAACGGTCCAGTTGACTCACCTTTCTGTGACGGTGTAAACCTTCTCTCCGTCTTGACGAAGGTCCATGGTGTTGACAAAGGGGCTGGTCACCTTGTGCTTCTGAATGTCGAATCTTGGGGAAGCACGCACCCATCGCGACAACGGCGCGGCAGCCCGCGACCGGCCGCAGCTGCCCGACGACGAGGCCGACGACGGACGGCTGTCGCCGCTGGAACTGCCATCGCTTTGCTGCGCCAGCTTGAGAGGCAGCCAGCCGTTGCTGCGAGCGAACCGACCAATGAACGAATGACACGACGAGTGGACTGTTTGTGGTGCTGTGCTTACGAGTCCCTGTAGAGCGCAATGCATTGGTGGTGATAGGCCGCGGCGTTGAGCCCTCTGGGCCACCGCATGGCACACAGCTGCGCCCACACACAGGGCTTCATCGCCACCTCACGACAACCTGCAGGCACACGCGCACACACGCACACACTCATTGCAACCACTGGCAGGCCCCCCACTGCCCTCCTGGCCGCTCGCCTACGGCTGCAGGTTTCAGAGAGAGTCAGCACGCCTCGAGCGCCCAACAGGCCACAAACCTCCCTGACATGAAAACACACTCAAAGTGCTCAGACTCATCACTCTTTTGAAGCGGTTTGTTCAGGTGTGTGTTGTGATGCAGTCAGTGTAGCTACCAGAGCAGGACGTCAGGAATCCGCCCCAGGTTGCCGCAAAGGGCCTTGGGGCTGCGCTCCATTGACTCTCTGGATGGGACCGAGTCATCCGCCGTGCGGGCTCGGGAGAGGGCCTTTTCGCAGAGGTTTGTGGACGGAAGGAGGGCCCCATCGAAGGACTGCCGTCTGCGTTGCCTCCTTTCCATTGTGGAGTCCGACGGAGAGCGGTTTCACAGAGCACCCTAGCAATGCGAGCTTGGTGAGGTCGGGAAGAAGGCAGCTACCGCGCGATGACAGTGACAGTGGGTAGCGCATCTGCGTGCGACAAATGGCAGGAGCTCACACAGAAGCTCAACGCCAAGAAGACCTTCATCTCTGCTGTCAAGGCACTCGCAGAAGCAGTGGAGAGGGGCGATACAGCCGCCTCCGCAGACCAAGTCCACGCCACTATCAAGGTACATCACACAGGCAACCCAAATTCGCTTCCGCATCGCCATTCGCCACTTGGTGTGTCGTCCTGTCTGTGTCCCGCAGCGTGCCTTCACGGTTTGCCAAACCCGGTATATCTCCTCTGCCTACTGGTCTCCCAACCTGGATCTGCTGCTCAGCTACCAGTTCACGCTGCCCCTCGACGACCCCCGACGCAGGGAGGCCGACCTGTGGGTGGAAACAGCCGTGAGGGAGGTGTCTGAGGGGCAGGAGAGGCTGCAGCGCAAGAGGGACGAGATGGACAGACGGGAGGCGCAGAGGCAGGCGGGGACACAGGCAGGAGAGGAGGCCACGGCCGACGGGCCCGGTGGTGGTGCAATGACCGACCTGCTTGACATGCTGCGGCAGCGGATGGAGCAGGTGGGGTGCGGTGGGATGGGGTAGGCAGCTGGAGAGGTCACAATGAATGGCAGACAGACGGGAGGGGGACCATCTGTGGTTGTGTTGTTTGTATGTATGTAGTATGTTTGTATGTTTGTATGTTTGTTTCTTTCTTTGTTTGTTCGCTGTATGTGGGTCAGGTGGGTTTGGGCATGCACCAGGGTGCCGCCCCATTCATCGTCGGCGATGCCCCAGACTTCTCCGACAGCGGCCCTCCACCCGCAGCCAGAACGGCCAGGTGAGGACTCACTCATACACACCAACACCAACACACACCCACAACCTCACAGGCACACCATCGATGGGCTGTCTGTCGCTGTGTCATCTTTTGTCTCAGGGCTGATCTGCCGATGCGGAAGATCCAGCCATTTGCTGACGGTTCGATGCCGACGTGTGCCATATGCCACGAGGAGTTCGTCAAGGGCGGCAAGGCCAAGGAGATGCCCTGCGAACACATGTTCCACTACGACTGCCTCCTCCTCTGGCTCGAGCGCCACAACACCTGCCCAAGTGAGTGTGGGACGAATGGTGGATGGTGGATGATGGTTGTTCGTTGCTTACTTCTGTTGTCTGTTGTGGTGGGTGGATGATGGATGGATGGATGGATGGGTGCAGTGTGTCGTCACTCCCTGCCGATTGACCGGCAGGACTTCGATGAGGTGGCCAAGCGCGTGCAGCAGCGACACGCCTCGCACTCGGGACTGTACGCATAGCACACGTGTGGGGACAGACAGACAGACAGACCAGTGAGTGCCCAAGATGATCACATGGATTCGCGAGTGGAGTAATCTTTTATGAAGCGAGCCGAAGGCCAGCATTTACGTGTGGACTGTACAGAAGTGCCTCGTTGCTGTGGTCCGGGTTGCCTTTCGTCTGTCCCTCTCGCAGTCCTTCGGACTCGTCACGCCACCCCTCCATCCCACGCGTGGCATCGTGTGTGATGGGTCGGTGGCGGGGCGGCGGCCGCAGGACAGAGAGGACAGACCAAAGGAAGCAAGCAACACCCACACCCACACCCACACCAGACAGACAGACAGACCGGCCCTGTGTATCTGCTCGACATGCGACCCTCAGTCTGTCTGTCATGTTGTTGCATTGGACACCTCCCGGCAGCTCACTGGCCTGACTTCTGTCTCAGAACACCACCATCACCACCGTCTTTCTGTGCCGTGTGAGTGCACTGTGGGACTGAGGTGGTGGCGGCGGTCATAGGCAAAGCGGGACAGAGAGCCCGAAGGCATGCATTGCTCAGAACAGTGTTGATATTACGTCGAATTGGTTGTATTACATCGAATCCATTGAACCGAGTCAGATCTCGGGGAAGATGCATCAGCTGTACACTGCATCACATCATGGCTGGATGAATTCCCCGCTCATCAAATCAAAGCAGACACCGACCCGCCACTCTCTCTGTCTCTCTCTCTCTGTACACCCACCCTTCACCGTCCGTCCTCTCATATGTCTCTGCTCATCACAGTTTCATGACCACATCGCTTCTCATGACGTACTTGACGCCATCCCTCACCTCCCTCCCCTCGTGCAGCAGACACCTAGGGCCCTGTGCGTGCAGCAAGGCCATCCCCGCCCTGGGCGCTATGGCCACCGGCTGCTTCCCCTTGCCGTCCAGGAAGGCGGTCTCACCGCCGACACACTCGCTCAGATACACCAGCAGCGTCCACTTGGTCTCCTCGCCTGTAGTGGGGAACCGGATGGCCTCGTCGTAGTGCGGACCAAAGGCGTGCCCCTTGGTGTATTTGTAGAAGCGAATGTTCTCGTAGAGCCGCACGCCCCGCTGACGGAAAAGGTGCTGGCAGACTGCGTCCATGCCTGACACACGGGCGCACAGCGAAGCAACGGGTGTGCGTGGCTAATGGGATACGGCTGTCTGTCTGTCTGTCCGTCCGTCCGTCCGTCCGTCGCTGACCCGTGTGCCACAGCATGTCCGCGAAGGCCACAGAGTCGAACTGAATGCGATGGCACATCCTGAAGGCCGGCCACACACGTGCTGTGTGTGTTGACGTCTGTGTGCATGTCATGTCATTGAATGTGTGTACCTGAACGCAGTTTTTCCTTGGTTTGCGGGCAGTTCATCAACTGCCACCTCTCCCCCTTGTCCAGCCACTCAATCAGCCTGTCGCACTCCTTGGCACTCAGGAAGCCATCACAGGTGTGCAGCTTCACCGAATGGGACACAATGCCGGCGACGAGATCCTCCTTCCTCGACATGGAAGGCCAGCCAGAGATGCCCTCCTCAGGCTGCACAGCTTTGGGCATCGGCTGCGGCTCGGCATCGAGTTTGTTCTTCCGTCTTCCCTTCTTCATCGCCCGATTGGCAGATCCCTCCTGCCGACCCGAAGGGACTCATCAAAGAGCAATTTCACGGTGCAACGCTCTAGCCCAGCCCAGGCGGGGCCCCTCGTCCATCACTCATTCTAACGATGAGGCAGTGGCCGTGGATACCTCTGTTGGTCGGTGTTTTCGGGTCGGCCTTATCGCACGAGGCGGCCAGGGGCCTCCGCCACAGAACACTGCAGGCGAGTGACGGGATACAGAGGGGAGGACAGCGGGCTGATGCAGACATTCATGCACAGCTGGGGAACCGCAAGGGCCCTTACAAACTGGATGATTTGCAATGCAGATACACTCGTCTGGGTCTTTCTGCCCGTTGCGGAGGAGTGCAGACTGCCCGGCGGCCTGACTCTCACTTGCACTGCCTACCACGACGGTCCGCTCACTGCCTACTCGCCCCTCGGCTGCTCCAAAGGCGGCGATGTGCTCTGCTGGGGCAGGCGAAGCGACGAGAAGCCGACATCGCAGCAACACGTCTGTGTGGCATCGGAGTCCACGGTGGAGTGTGCCGAGCAGCTGAGGGAGTGCCGCAGCCACGTGTCGGCCAAGAGGGGGATGGGTGGCAACTCGACGTTTGCCCTGTTGAGCTGCAGTGAGATGGCTCTCGGATATGGCGAGCACCCGACGACAGGTGACGCTCTGGCCCAGGTGCAGGCACAACTGCGCGAGGCCGCAGCGGCTGCTGAGAGGTCGACGCTCAACGCCCCGCCCGCATTCTGCTTTGCGAAGGAGGTCCGCCCGTGCGGTGAGCCCACACAAAACACACAGCGGAGCCAGGGAGGGCGCTTGCTGCACGAATGCATTGTTTTCATTAATGGCTGCAGGGGGCTCGATGAGCGCACTATGGGAAGAGGCTGAGTCCAAATCGAAAGGTGAGGTTCCAAAAGCCCGCAAGGCACAACACACAGAAGAGGAGACAGCGGCACGGGAGGCGGACCTCGCAAATGTCACGGCAAGCACAGAGGCAGACGCAGCGGCTGCGGCAAATGCCACCAAGGCTGAAGAGGCGGCGAGAAAAGAGGCCACGGCCGCCGAGGAGCGTCGCATAGAGGAGATGGCAACCCTCAACGCAACAGAAGAGTCGTGCGGCCTCGTCAACGAGACCGCACAAGAGCTTGTGAATGCTACTGTCGGCCTCAATACCACATTCGGCAAAGAGGGGGAAGAGGAGGAATATGGCCACGCCGCCGCCGCCGCCGCCGCCGCAGCAGCAGCACACAAGGCTGAAGCCGAGGTGGCTCAGAACGAGACAGACGATCTCTCTGAGGATGTGTTGAGGAGCGCGGGCAATGAGACCGTCACCGAGGATCTCACATCGCAGGTGAATGCAACCGAGACTGAGGCCCAGGGGGCCACCGCCACAACGGTCAGGGAGGATTATGGCACCAACGTCACGTTGAACGAGACAGCGGAGGCCCCCCTGAGTGTCAACGCGACGGCCAAGGAGGAGCTAGAGACTCAAGACACCATCGCGGCAGCAGCCAACGTGACGGAGGAAGCCATTGTTACAGCCGCAAGTACGTTGAAGGGCGAGGCAGGGCTCACCACCAACGATACCGTCGCACAGGAGACAGCTGACAACACAACGCAGCTCACTGTCGAAGGCGAAGCCGCCAATGCAACCAAAACAGAGGAGGGGGAGCTCACTGACCATGCGGTGGCCGAGAACGCCACCACGGCTACTGCTGACGAGAGTGGGAGCCAGCCTGAGCTGGCTGTCGCCTCTAACGAGACACTCGTCAATGTGACGGATGTCGTGGTGAAGGAGACAACACAGCATGACGTGGATGTGGATGTAACGGCATTTCGTGCAACAGCGGAGGAGCCAACCACAGCTGCTTTGGGAAATGACACGGAAGACGAGACAGGGCAGGGCCCGAGGCAGCGGCTCCTGCTCCCATTACACATGACGACAACCACACGGGAGAGCGGGGGGAGACCGCCAACTATCAACAAACCGTCGCTGGTGGGTAGGCAGGCCAGTCTTGTGACCAAATTTGGTTGGCCCCTCGCCTTTTCGTACGTCGGCGTGTCTCTGTTCCCCAGACGCCACGAGCAGACTCCGTGCAACCGAAGAGAAGCTCAAGTGAGCACACACCAAAGCAAAGCAACAACACGCGGAGGCATTGCATGTCCTCTCCCTCCCCTGTCAGCGGCACGATAAAAGAGGTGTCTAGCCACCACCCCTCCTTGCTGCACCTGTCCAGCCGCCTCACCAACACAGCCACACCAGGCGGGCATGTCAACGCCCTTCCTGAGGCCAAGGTCGCCGCCATCATCGCACAGGACGATGCCGGCGCACAGGAAAATAAGAAGAAGGGCAAAAGGAAAAGGCCACGGAAGGGCACTGCGGAAGGTGGCAAGCTTGAGGGTACGTCTGAGGGCGAAGAGCAGAAAGGCGGTGAAGAGGAGGAGGCCCCTGAACCGGCGGAGGACGATGTCAGCAGTGGGCTGCGGTCGAATGCAGCGCCCTCAGCCGACACGGGTGAGGGAGCGAGTGAGTGAGTGAGGGTAGAGGGAGACAGGGGGGATATAGACCTGCCTGCCTGCCTGCGTGCGTGCCTGGAGGGAAGGAGGGGTGGGTGGCTGAACTTGTTGCTTATTGGGCTGCGTGGCCATCGTGAATGGACATGTACTCTGACATACATCATCGCATCGCATCGCATCAATGAATGCCGCATTGCATTGCATCGCATGGCATTGCAGGTCACGTCACCTTACTTGTGTTTGTCCGGCTTGTATACCTACCTCAGTTGGCTACCTGTTGGCGCAACTTGACAACACCAATGACACCACCACCACACCTGCACCTGCATGACCTGACTCGCCCAACAACCAGACAACCACCGGCAGACAACAAAGTAGGACAGACAGACAGACAGACAGACGAGACGTAAAAAACACGGAGTCATGCAGCCTGAAGAGGCGGGGGGAGAGGACAGGCTGGCTACAGCTTACAAGGTGCCTGCCTCCCTGACTGACTGTGCCATGGCAAACGCACACACACACCTCTTTGTATGTATGCTGGCTGCATGTGTCTCTCTCTCTCTCTCTCTCTGTGCAGAGTTTGGACCCGTCTGCATACCACGCCCCCCTGTGCCGCACTTCAGCTCTCATATCGATAAAGCGATCGGGAAGCAGCTGCGGGTGAGGGAGGGAGAGAGAGACGACACTAGAAAAGCTCTGCCAACAACTTTTGTGCACGTGTGTGTGTGTGTGTGTGTAGGATGAGATGAAGCTGCCTTTGGTTGAGAGGACAGGGTGGATGGTGATGGTCAAGGACGCACAGGGCGAGGCGGGTGCCGAGCTGTCTGGTGTCACTCACCATGGCTGTCAGATGCCCGCACTTCATGAGTGACTCAACTCACTCTATCTCCTCTGATCCACACACCAATGAATGCATCCATCTGTGTCAGTGGGTCGGTCACATTTGCTGCGGCACGCACACGTGTACGATGCCGGCCCTGCCGCCATAGGCCAGCAGTGGCAGAGTGCCGCCATAGACCATCCTGTCAAGCGCGGCCACACAGAAGAGCTCCCTCTCCCGCCCACACATCTCCCCCCTCTCCCTCTTGGCAGCCTCTTCTCTCAATTTCGCCTCCTCTGCCTCACTTAACATCTCCTCGTCCTCTTGCCCACCACCACCAGCACTGTCGGTGTCCGGCGGGCTAAGTGTCAGCTCTTGCAGCACATCCTCCATGCTGGGCCTCGGACGCTTCGCGCCCCTCTTGGCTTTGGCCTTTGCCTTTGCCTTCGGGAGGGGCGTTTGGCCGTCGGCAGACAGGGCGGCCGGCTTTTCCTCCAGCAGGTTGAAGAACCGGGGGTCGCGGGAGACACGGATGCGCATCGCGGCGGCGGGGTAATCATGGCACTGCTGGTGCCGCTTGTGGGCCCACTCGGCGTCAGCCTCGATCACTTTCTCCACCAAAAGCGGCCCCTTCAGGGGTACTGGCGGCGGGCTGACCACAATCTGACTTGCAGCAGGAGCAGCAACAGGCACCAGGTCTTTGACGTCTGGCTTGACGTCGATCTGCATCGAGTCTCCCTCCTGTTGTTGGTCATCGGCAGGAGGGGAAGGGGGACGGGCCTCCGGTGATGGGGAGGGCTCCTGGGCTGCTGCTGGTCGGTCCATGGCGGCGGCAGGAGGGGGGCTGGGGAGGTCTACGGTCCACTTGAAGGGCTTGCCGAAACACGACTGCCTCTTCCGGTGGATCAGGGCGAGAGGCGTCGTGGTCACTCTGGACGCACGAGTAATGACAACAACCACAAACAAAGCTGTATCGTTGCTCGTGTCTGGCTGGCGTTGTGTTGGCTCACATGCCGTCTTTGTAAGTGGCGTAAGCGTATTGGCCGCACACAGTGGTGCAGTGGCAGTGGGTGTTGTAGTGGTTCAGCCGGAACCTCGTGTGGTGCCCCGACCCCACACCCTCCCCCTCAGTGCCGCTTGCTGCAGTCCCACCACCCGCCCCCCTAAGCTGTGGCCCCAGCTTGTAGACCATGCCGTCCGTGAGGCCGCCCAGCACCACAGTACCCACCAGGGGAGAGGCCGACACCTGAGTCACGGGCATGCGTGTCGGCACGTACTTGGCCAACGGGCTGTGGGACAAACGACGGTCCCTGACAGACACACACACACACACACGCGCGCGCACATCGGTTGATGCCCGCTGTGCTGTCTGCCGATCTCTGTGTAATTGGCTGACCAGAGGAGACAGTCGCCGTCATTAGATGTGGTGAGGAAGAGGTGATGCTCGGGGGTCGGCAGCCACGTCACCGTCCGAACCGGCTGACCAACACAATGCGCATCGCATCCCCAGTGTGTGCGAGTGAGTGTGTGGGTGGGTGGATGCATACCGCTGGCGTGGCCCAGTGGATGCTGCAGGGCGCCAGTCGGTACCCACCGTGGCCTTGGTGATGGCCGTCACTCATGTCAGGGTCGCTGTGGATGTGCCAGACGAGGATGCGGCCATCAGCACATCCCGTCACCAACAGGTCATAGGGCCACGCTGCACACACAACATGCAGGCAGGCTTACAGATAGATCGTCATGTCGTCTCGTGTGCGTGTTGTGTTATCATGCATACATACCTTGTGCCATGGCGCCGCAAGTGAGAAGACCATGCTCCGGACCGGTCCGCCACACGGGGGGCAGACGGAATGTGCTGCGTGCGTGGCAACCACACAGATAGAGAACAGACTTGACTTGTTCAGGGCTGCGCGTGAATGTGCTCCAGGCAGCCAGGCTGCTCACATGCTGGCAATCACATCCATCGACGAAGCGCCCTCTGCCACTGGTGCAGGAGCAGGATCCGCTGTGAAGGGCTGCGCGGGCACCTCCCACAGACAGCACGTGCCGTCACCCAGCACAGCGAACAGCAGCCCGACCCTCCTCAGCTCGGTGGAGTCCTCCAAGGCCATCGCAGAGTGCCGCACCCACTCCACATGTCGCACCCAGCCCCCCTGCAGCGAGCCAGCCGAGGATAAAGACCTACACTTGTTGAAAGCCGTCGGCTGCCTGTCTGTCCTTACCTCATGCGCGATGCACAGCCGCAGCTGAGGCTCCCTGACGGGGTCGCCTGCCACCATCCACAACTGAATGAGCGAGGGGCCGCTGACGGCCCTCTCCACCGTATGCAGAGCCGCGTAGGGTGAGTGAGCAGCGATGGCCAGCACAACGTAGCTCAGGTTGTGGTCGATGTGGTCCATCATGAGCCCCGCCGGCGTATTCTGGTCGGGCGGCCCCTTGCCGCCCTTGACCTTCTTGGCCGAGTTGAGAGAGCTGTCCCAGTTGCCCACCGGCACACACCCGTTCCCAGCGTCCTCGTCATCTTCAACCGTGAGCGGCTGGAGAGTGGCCGCGGCCTCGCTGCCTGGTGGCAGGCTGACAGGCGGACTGAAGGCCATGCGAAACACGGGTCCGCCTGCGTTGATGAACCAGTGACAGGGAGGGGCAGGGGCTGCGCTTCCGGCATCGTCGGCATGCACGAATGGGTTGGCCGCTTGGAAGCGGCGTAGGCCGCAGGGCTGGGAGGAGTCGTACTGCACCTCAACGGCATTCTGATGACAGACGGAGGAGAGGGATGGCTCAGATGGCTATTGTTTTCGATGGGCTCACCGACCCACCTCATAGTCAGGTGGTATGAATGCAGCCATCTCGTCAGGCGCCAACCGATACAGGACCTGGTTGTCCTCCGTCAGCTGGGGACCCACCAGAAATGGAAGAGCAGCATGACCCTCAGCGGCTGCACACATTCGCCACTCGGTAGTTCAACCAGTCAGTGATGGGATCTTGCAGGTGTGGGCTGAGCTTACCAAGCTGCGGAGGCGGGACAAACTCGGGAAAGGACGAAAACAGCCTGACACCAACACACACACACACACAGACACACACATGTGTTTCCCGCAGGCACAAACATCGCTATCTGCCTTGTTGGTTGTCTGTTCACTCACGCACCCGTATTCTGGCATTGGTTCATCACCCTGATATATGCGATGTATGTACATACACCACAGAGAGGCGACAAGTACAACATGATGTGTGCTTCGGTCTCTATCGTTCGTTCATACCAGCGGCTTGAGGCACTTGGTGCATGTGGTGCGCCGGAAGTGATTCCATTCGCCACAGTTCTCGCAATACTGGGACAGCTGATACACACACACACACACACGAGCAAATGGATGCAGGCGCGGCAGCCACATCTCCATCTGCCACGTACCACGGACGGAATGCCTTTGGGTCTTTGCCTCTTCGGTACTACAGAGGTCGCCTCCTCTGACACATCCTCGCACTCCATCTTGACAAGCGCCATCCCTCACGCCAGAAATGAGCAGGTTTCCAGTTTTGGCGCACAGTGAGGAGAAAGCGATCTGGGTCGCGGGCCAGTGTTTACAGCGCCCTGAAATGAAGGCCTGGCTGTCTGTTCTGGCAATCGGTGTGTTCGGGGGGCAGCAATCGGCTAGTAGCACTGCGCTTTCCGGTCCAAATCCCATCAGGAAGGTGGTTAATCTATTGAATGCGCTGGCCAAGGAGGTCGAAGAGGAGTCCCTGAAGGAGGTCAGTTCATTTCATGAGAGACCCACAGACTCTGCCTGCCGTTGTATTTCCACAGGACCAACTGTACGACAAACATGCGTGCTATTGCAAAGGTACACACGAGTCGACAGGTACCCACACAGAGCAATGAATACTTGGCCGGGTGTGTTTTGTCAGCCACGCAAAGTCAGCTCAGCGATGCAATTAAGGCGGATGAGGAGACCATTCCAAAGCTGGAGGGGAAGATCAAGGAGACCACTGCCACACTCAGCCGGTTCTGCCAGGAGATAGATGACCTCACAAACGAAGTAGGAGAAACCACGGCAGAACTAAAAAAGCCGCCGCAGTCAGGTGCCATTCCTCCGCAGTCAAGTCGGGAGGGCATTGAACGTTGTGCTCTGGTGTTATGAAGGGCTCGCGACAGGGAGGATTACGAGAGCGAAGCCGCCGACCTCAGGTCATCCATTGCGGCCCTCAAACAGGCCATTCCTATCCTCAAGCAGGGACAGGTATGAGACAAAACCTCACTGAGTGCTGGCCAACATCCTCTGTCAATGGGCAGGGAAGTCAGCAGCTCCTCAGCTTGAAGGCACAGCTGCAGGTCCTGACGCCCGAGAGAATGAAGTGATGCATATCTTCCCCCTGTGCTATTGGCATTTGTCAGGCCTCGGGCAGCAGCCGCAGTCAGCAGGTGCTCAGCGCGATCAGCCAGCAAAGCCCCTTCGGCGACTACTCCCCGCAGTCTTTGGAGGTCCTGGGCATGCTCGCGCAAATGCTGGACAACTTCGAGCAGGACCTTGCACAAGGTCAACCACTTTGCTGGCGATTGCTCCGACACGCCGAGCAAGGCAGTCAATGTATTATCTGTTATAATGTGTCGCTGCAGAGAACAAGCGCGAGGAGGCAGCTGCCCAGGCGTTCGACGAGCTTCACAAATCCAAGACTGAGGAGAAAATGGCAGCAGAGGCGGTCAGCTCGCTAATACACGCGGGCGCTCTTTATGATGCGGTCAGGTGTGTCTTTCTGGGTGTTCTGCCCCTGTCAGGCCCTCAAGCGGAAGAGCCACCGCCACGCAACTCTACAGATGAAGCAGCAGGACCGAAAGACCAACCTGAAGGTCAGCACACATTCACAAAAGACGTTGTCATCGATGTCCTTACTTACCGTATGGTATGTGTACACGGCACACTCAGGAGGCACAAGAGAGGCTTGCCGCCAATCAGCACTCACTCCAGGGCTTGGTGAACAGCTGCGAGACCAAAGCTAAGGTGAGTGAGACGACCGGCAGGAGCCAATGATGTTTCCTGCTCAGCCATAATGTAATGATGGCCGAGCTGAACATGCAGGAGCGCGAGGCTCGTGCTGCGTCACGAAGCGAAGAGTTTCAGGCCATCAGTGAGGTGAGACGCATGGGCAGAAGTGATCCATGCATATCTGTGGTGTGGTGCCGTCGGCAGACCGTCAAACTAATTAATGACGACGACGCGCTGGACCTTTTCAAAAAGACCGTGCCGGCCCCATCTCTCATCCAACTCGACAAGGCCGCTGCTCGTCATCTCTCACCCCCCGTGGGCCTCCCCGCGCAGCAGCCACAGCAGCTGACCAAAGCCCAATTGATGCAGCTGGCCGCTTCCTTGCCCCCTGCCGTCCTCAGTCAACTCATGCAGCGTGCCGGCATTGGCCAGGTCCAGAGACAGGGACAGCCACGGGTTAAGGGCGGCAGCAAGTTCGCGCCTGTTGCGCGGCTGGTCGATCGGGTGCTGGATACCATGGCCGATGAGCAGCACAAGGATGACCAGCATCGCGATTACTGCAGTGAAGAGCTTGCGAACACACGACAGGAGAACGTGACGATGAGCCAGACAATCTCACAGCTGCTGAGCGACGTTGAGACAGTGAAAGAGGAGGTACATCCGCATGAGAAATGAATGGTTGCCCTCTTGTTCGTCCGTCCGTATGTGTGCGTGTGATGCAGGCGGCCGATGCGGCAGCTCAGATGCAGTCAATACAAGCCGCCATCGTCCAGATCGATGGCGACATGAAAGAGGCCCAGAAGAACCGGGCTGCGGAAGAGGCGGAATATGAGGTGATGTGTACGATGAGGACAGAGAGCGAAGATGAAACTGCATGTTTGTCTGTGTGTCTATCGTGTCGACAGAATGAGGGCCTGGAAAGGACGCAGGCTGAAGAGCTGCTTGGCAAGGCGAAAAATCGAATTGCACAGTACTACGCCGCAGGTACAGGCAGAGGAAACTCTATTGCAGCCCTCTTGAACTCTGTCTCGATCCCTGTCTGCAGAGAAGCTCCAGCAGCAGGTGCAGGGCAGTGTGCATCTTCGCTCAATGTGTCTCGGTGGTCATGTGTGCAGCAAGTGGGTATGGCCAACGACCTGGGCCATGTGTTCGAGGGCATTTCGTTTCTGCAGCTGACATCACCGACCAAGGCCCGTACCAGGGTGGAAGCTCTCTTGTCGACTCCGCTGCGAATGGAGCATCCGACGAAGAACCAATTTCTGAGAGGGTGGACATCGGAGGTGCAAATCGACGGCAGGGGCGACGCTAATGAGCAGAGAGGCCGGGTAAGTGACATGTGGTATGAGAAGAGAGAGAGAAAGAGCATATTATTCCACGGATGTGTGCAGGCCCTCCTTCCTCCTTTGATGGACAGCAGGAATCCAGCCCACTCACATCTCTTATCCAACAAAAAGAGCAGCCGCCAGCAGTGGATGTCCCGCCGCCCCCAGAGACACCGTATGTCGAGAGCACACACAGGCCACCCACATGGATGGCTCATGTGTCTGTCTGTCGGTCCTTGCCTCAGTGAAGGCGAGTACGGTGGCAAGAAGGATGGCGCCACAAATGTCCTGTACCACGTCGACATACTGGTAGCGGACATCAGGAAGGCCCAGGCAGTGGCCGACACAGAGGAAAAGAACGACGTAGACTCCTATCAGACCGATATGGCTCAGTGGACAGACCAGTGGGAGAAGAGGATGAAGGAGATGACCGAGCAGGAAGGCATCAAGGCAGCTGCGGACCAGGTGACCCCAGCGGCAAGATTAAGCGCTCTCATGTATCCCTTTCCTCCCTCTGTCCTGCAGAAGCTGAATGAAGTAAAGAAAGAGCTACGGGATGAGAGGGAGACTTTTGACGCCGTTCACTCCAAGCTGGCCTCGCTCCACGAGTCGTGCGATTTCTTGCTGCGCAACTACGACACCAGAAAGCAGGTAGGTACAGAGACACACACAAGGAACGATCCCATTCGGGATGTCGTCATGTGCCTCACGTATTCACAGGCGCGTGCGAAGGAGCGGGATTATCTTCTGAAGGCCAAAGCGACGCTAATGGGCGCCACATTCGCTGAGCCAACCGCTCCGCCGCCAGTAGCACGAGTGCCGTCTGCAATGTAGAGGCAAAAGGCATTACGGTAGTTCTCTCTCTTGCTGCCGCAATTCAGTATAGACAGAGACATGGCTCGGTCGTTTGTGGTTGGCTCAGTAGGGAATGGTCTGCACACGACTGTGCCGCTAATGAATAAATGGATTGTCCAGCAATGATGCAGTTGCTGGATTGAGCTCATCGATGGTCCAACCGTGCTCCAAATAGGCCCGTCAACGTCGCGGAGCTGCCCAGATCCACACACCCATACAAAATGTCTAAGTGATCCATGCAGGCGTGTTTGTCTACTCGGTGTCGATTCCATAACACCCATCGCAACACACAGGCACCCCAATACACACAGTTTTGGGCAACAGACACACAGACACACAAACACACACATACATCTACACCTGAAGCATCAGCCAACCGCTGTCTCATCTCCCTACAGCTATCGACATGCCGAAGGCCGTCAGCCGATCAGCGGAAAATGTCCCCAAGTGGCGTGAAGCCGAAGTGCGGGTGGAGGGCGCTCTCGTCCACCACGCCCTCGCCCCCCTCCGGAGGCTGCCCCGCGGCAGCCCCGGCCTCCGCCGCCCCGTCTGCGGGAAAGTATGGCCAGGACACGTTGGTCTGCTGGAGGGAGCGGCGAGGGGGCGACGCGGCCCACCTCGCCAACTCCTCGTTCGTGACGGGATCATGGAGCACCGCAGAAGCTGGCGCAAGAAAAGGAGACATATGGTGTCTCTCTCGTGCTCATGGGCTGCTCGTATCATACTTGGTTGTATGGTGAGTATCTCCCCATCCACGAACTCAACCCACGCGATGGCCTGCAAATCTGACCGTGTCACCTGCACACAAGGATTGAGGATACAGACAGACGCAAACACCGAATGAAGGCCTCTGCCTGTGGCCCACCCAGTCAGTCAGTCGCTCACTCTGCATATCTTGTAGAGGCCTTCGGACTGATCATCGAGAGGCAAGTATATGTACTCGACCTACACAGATGCATTGCACTCACACACATCAACACATGGAGGGCCGAATAGACGGGCGATGCGCCCCTCTGCTCACGTTCGATATGGCCATCAGGTCGATGGCGAGGAGGTCGAAGATGCTGGCCATCTCCATGTAGTTGTGCGATTCTGCCAATCGGAAGAAAGCAGAATGAAACAACACACAAATGCATTGCATGCCACACACAACAGGCGGCCAGGTCAATACACAACAGGCGGCCAGGTCAATGCTCAATGCTCGACGCCCCGCACTGACTTATGATGGAGTGGGCCCTGTCCGTTGTCCGTAATGTCCCACTGGCATCAGGCTTGTGCTGCTTCGTTATCTGACCCATACAATACACACACACACACATACACATACACACATACACACACACACACACGTATGTGGACGGAGGCAACCTATGGATGGCTCTGTCTGCGAGTCTTGGGTCACCGACCTCTTCGGCAGCGATGAGTATGATGAGCATGATGCCCACGGTGAAGACGTACAGAATGATGAACAGAAACACCATCAGCCGCAGCCGCTGGATCTTCCGCACTTCAGCAAGCATCTCCTTCGCGGCGAAAGCCGCTTCCTGTGCAATCAGTCAGCACAACAGACAGCATCAAGACAAACAGGCCATACAAACCGCAGCATGCAGTGCAGCCCACAAACAACACGTCAGTCCCACCTCGAGAGAGAACTTGCCATCGCCTGAAACGAGACACGCACACACACACACATACACACGCACCTGCATGCACACACATGCCTTCCAAATCACTCGCTCACCATTGACGTCCCACGACTTGAGTTTCTGCAGCATCTTCTCCTCGAAAGGCATCCCCTCCTGGTCCACCAACACCACCCGACGGAACTCCGCCGTCCGAGTGTGGGCGAACATCGTCCCCACTCGGCTGAAGAACTGGGTCAGCGGCCATGCCTTGGACAACTCGCTGGCAGCGATGCTCTCCACACTCCCCCCGGCCTTGTCGAGGCCAGGCCGCGGCGTGGGAACGGGTGTGGGGGAGTCGTCAGGTCTTGGCGGCTGCTCCGGTGTGCCCGTGAGGACAGAAGTGGGGGCTCGGCGCAGACTGGACGGGTGTGAGAGCTGTCGAGCGTACCCTTCATAGCCTTGTTGTCCAACCTGCTGTGCGCCGCCCTCCTCCCTTGTTGGTTCATGCGCTTGTTCTGCCCTGGCCTCCACAATGGCTGCCTCGACGATTGTGCCGATGGTCTCTGGCTCGGCCACCCCAGCATCCAGACTGGCATCAGACGCCGCCGGATGAATGCGCTGTTCCGCCATCGCTCTGCTGCATCAGTTTCACGCGCCCTGGCGCGAACCCTGATCGCCAGTCTGCACAGACTAAGGGAAGACGATGTTTGCGTTCAAGAAGGAGTTCAATGGTGAGGGTACAAGCACCCCTTTCATAAGAACTGATGGATCTCATGCTCATTATGGTGTCTTACTGCGTGTCCGTCGTCTGTCAGAGCCGAAGGAGACGGTCCTGCAGCGAGAGCTCGTCCTCAAGCTGCGGTTCTTCGCAGGTCAGATGCACCAGACATCGAATATCGATGACGGACTGCCTCACACTCACCACTGTGTGTGTGTGTTTGCCTTGACTGTGTTTTTGTGTGTGCAGCGTATGTGGTGGCGCTGCGTCTGGCTCCATCTCTCCTCAAGGCAGTCGGTATCATCAAGACAGAGCCGTCCACATCCTCATAGCCCCTGCTGTGTAGATCCTTAGTGCTCTCTATTGGCTGGCGTGGCGCGAGATGGGACTCTTCTCTGTCCCCAAGGGCGCCACTCTTTCTCTCTTGTGTGTGCTCAAGAGAGAAAAGGTTGCGCTCTTGGGGATAAAGAAGAGCCCTCGCGCAAGAGAGAAAGAGTGATCGTCCATGTCGGACGCTGGCATGTGTGCTTACTGAGATCTGACTCGGTTCAATGGACTTGACGTCATACAGTCAATGGCACCGACACTCATATCAACACGGGCTCCACATTCGATGTACGTAGCTCTCATTTCTGAGCAATACATGCCCTTTGCGGCTCTCTGTCCCGCTTTGCTTCTCATCCCCGCCACCACCTCAGTCCCACAGAGCACTCACACGGCACCGAAAGACCAAGGTCATGGAGGTGATGACAGACAGAAGGCAGGCCAGAGAGCTGCCGGGAGGTGTCCAATGGAACAACGAGATGACAGACAGACTGAGGGTCTCATGTCGAGCAGATACACACGGCCGGTCTGTCTGTCTGTCTGTCTGTCTGTCTGGTGTGTGTGTGGGTGTTGCTAGCTTCCTTCGGTCTGTCCTCTCTGTCCTGCGGCCGCCGCCCCGCCACCGACCCACCACACACCATAGCACGGGTGAAATGGAGGGGTAGCGGGAAGCCAACCTAGGACTACTAGGGGACAGACGAAAGGCGACACTCAACAACGAACGCCATGCATCCCCCGCACCCAACAACAGCGTGCACGAAGAGACCGTTGAGAAAGGAAGTCTGACTGGACTGGCACAGCTCTCGCTTCAAGAAACAGGCAGACACCTCGACCTTTTTCGACAAATACAAGTGCCTGAGGCGTCAGGCAAGGCAAGGCCACCACACACTGATCATCATGGGCCATCGCCGAGTGTGACGCTCCTGTCTGACTGATCTGCCCCCTCCTCGGCCCTCGCCGGCTTCTGCAGCCGCTCCTCTCGGTCGGTGTCCATCGCCTCACCCACACCATCGGCCCCACACTCCACCCAGACGTCGAAGTAGTGCCCACTGCACAGAAGCAGGCCCGTATCAGCTCCTGCGCCTTGCGCCTGACCGCTCTCCTGTCCGGCGCTCTGCACCGGCCGCCTGAAGGGCATCCTGGTGCGCCTCTCCTGCTCAGCGGGGTCAGGCCGATTGTTGGTCAGCGTGACGGCCATGCTTGTGGTCGCCGCGACGCTGCTCATCTGCTCCTCCTTTCTCAGCCCGCCCTTGCAGGCTGCCAGTGTGGTCTCGTTGCCGCTGCAGGTGAGGGCGAGCTGGTAGGCCGGCATGTGTGGCGGGGCGAGGGGGAGGGAGGGGGAGGCGATCCATGGGTAGACGTTGACAAAGGGGCGGGTGGTCATGCTCATGCTGTTGCACACCACACGGGCTGAGGCGAAGTCGAAGTGGGGCAGGCAGACGGTGCCCCAGCGGCCGTTGATGCGGACCTCCAGCCGGCCCACGTGGGGGTGGCTGCCGTTGACCAGACGAAACGCCTCCACCGCTGATGATGCCACTGCATCCACCCACACACGACCACAGGACATCCATACAACATGGCCATGGCGGCATACTTGGTGGGGATCGTCACACACGTACCATGATGGTTTGCGTGATCCTCAGGGGCGCGGCCGTCCCCGTCACTGGTGCGATTGGTGTTGCCGTTGGTGCTCTCCGTGTGTGTGTTGTTGTGTGTGGCTGTCGGGCCGCTCTTGGGCGGTGGGGGCACATTGGGAGGGAGGACGAAAGGGGTGCTGCCGTTGCTGGTTGACGAATGCGGCGGGTCATGGTGCTTGGGTGGACGCTCTGATGACATGACGACAACACCCACACATGCAGACAGACAAAGGAAGGAAGCACATGTGATGTGGGTATGGTGTTTTCGTCTGCCTGTCTGTGTGTCAATGCAATGGTGTGCTTACGGGTAGTGGTCTGGTCATCCGCCATACAGCGGGCGGAGCGAGGGTCGACCGCTGAGCTCAAGCCCGTCAACGGAAGCCAATCTGACCAAAGCAACACAGCCCGGCCCGCTGCGTATATGTGTGTCCGTCTGTCTGTCCGCCTTGTTTCACTCCCCTCACCAACCAGTGTTGTCCACGTGACACTTGAGCCAGAGGTCCTCCTCGTGCCCCCTGCAGTTCTCCTTCCCCCACACAATCGGCTCACACACATCGCCACCGCCACCCCGCCGCCCCACACCCATGAAGGCCATAATCCATCGGCTCCGCCAGGTGGTCTCCTCCTCCTTGTCCAGCCGGCAGCAGTCGAGCACTGTCTTGGTGCCGCTGCCGTTGGGGCAGTGGAGGTCGTCAAGCCATATGGGTCTGAAGGGCGCTGCGAATGGGTGAGTGGGCGGCTGGGTGTAGAAGGCTGCCGACGTCAGTGAGGAGGTCTTGTTGGTCATCTGGTGGAGGAGGATGGAGCAGAGAGTGTCAGCGTCGGCGGCGTCGATCTCGTCGTCACACACTGTACCCTGCTCACACACACACACACACACTGGGTTGCAGGGAACCGACAGCAGATGTCTTGGAGCGTGTGTGTGTGTGTGTAGAGGCGCACCCAGAGTCCCTCATGGTAGACCTCCAGCCTCCCCTCGAAGGCCGACGGGCCATCCTCCAGCCGCAATGCGCCCTCATGCGGCACCAACTGCACGTCACCGCCAGCCGATGGCCACCGCATTGCAGCCCGCCCGCCCCAGCCCCAGCCCTCCATTTGCTTGGGAGGGAGGAGGGCACCCAGAGGCGGCACTGCACACACACAGCCAGCGCACACGGACAGAGAAAGGCAGAAAGGCAGGCAGCATCAGGAGTTGGCCACCGGGTTGGCTTCCACTGCACTAGGATGTTCCCCTTCCTTCTCACCTCCTGCGCTGCAGACGGGCATCACCGACAGCAGAAGGAAGAGAGGAAGGGGCAGCAGCTGTGTTGAGGTGTGCATGGCAGCAGGCGACACACGAGAGAAGGAACAAGGGCGGGGACAGATCACGGAGGCAAAGTTGGGCCTTGTGACTTCCCTTGCCCGTTGCCGCCATGACGTCCTGAAAGCTAGAATGTCATCAGGGCGCCAGACCCTTTGCGAGCTCGGCAAATGAGTTAGAGCAGGGCTTACACGGGCGCAGCGTGTCGGTAGATGAGAGTGGCTGTGGAGGATCGCTGTCGTTGCCCGTTAAGGCAACAGATGAGCCAGAGCGACGGTTCACGAGAAGGAGGGACAGTTCAGATTCGTGCGCTTTTTTTATTGGCTTACGCAGGAAGCACCGGCCATAGTGACACCCTCGTGCTTTGCCCTCGGGTGGGCTGTGCGTTGACCCCAGTGGAGATGAATGAGGACTCAGCGGCGAGAGTGATCCAACGGTCGGCGAGAGCGTCTCTGTGGCGGCGACGAGATCAAGG